TCAGAAGTGGATAAACACTTGCATTTCAAAGAGATTGCTGCCTTTGTCATAGCAGCCTAAAAGTGGGAAAGAAAGAGTGGAAAGGGGGAATCTAGCAGCACCTTTTAAGATTCTTGGATTTTATTTAGAATAAGCTTTCTTCAGCCACACTGGTACATTATAAACAGGTATATTAGCAATGACATAGGTATAGGGTGGGATCAAAACACAAACAGAGAGATACTACACAATTGTAGCACTCTCTGTTGTAAGGTGCTTTGAGTCAGATTCAGAAAAAGTCTCAATATAAAGAAGGTGGTGGTAGTGGCAGCAGAGGCAGAGGAGAAGGAGGAAAGGAAGAAGGAGAAGGGAAAATGTGCAATATATTTATTTATTTCAGTCTTTTATAATTGCTTTTTCATGAGACAACTGGTGTAGAGTGCAATGAAACTATTGGGAAAAAAATTGATCAAACCCAACAAAATGTTCGAATGATAAGACGCTACTAAAATATTAATGCAAGATCAAAAACAGATGTTAAAATGCCATTTTAAAAAAAGAGGCACATTTCTAGTTTGCCTTTGGGAAGGAGATGTTGGAGATGCTTTTTGAAATGCTTGCTTGCACAGAAATCTCCAAGCCGGGGCCCTAAAAAGTGGGCTTCTGGGTCCTCATGAGGTTTGTGGGCCACATGTTCCTCATCCTTACATGAGACATATTTTTGCTTATACTTAAGTGATATTACTCATTACAAATATTGAATAAATGCTATTCGTTTCACTCATTTTCATTGCACCAATCTTGCTTTATTCATTTATTTTGCAACATTATTTTAAGCAATTAAGATTCCCTAAATATTTGTCTTACTTCTTTGTCCATACTGCCATACCGAAGCCAGGTTGTCTTTACTGGATAGCCCGGGCCTCCACAATCCTAACTGTCACTACCTTCTCCCAGTCCAGACTGGTGTGAGTGATGGGCAACTGTCTCCGGAAGGACTTCAGGTAAGTGCCATTCATGTGCCGATACTCTTCCATCAGCCCATGCTGGATCTCATTCTCCACTTTCTCTACCAGCTTAACAAATGCCTCTGCTGTCTGGGTCTTATCTGTAACCAGTAGAGTCTCCTCTACATCCTTGGTGACCGTCAAGTGCATGTTGCCATCCTCAAAATAGTGCGCTTGAACCAAGATGTTCCCTGTCACTTCTGTAGAAGTGGAGGCAGGAACCAGGGCAAAAGTCCATTCTGATTTCCACAGGCCATTCCAAAAAGCTGAGGACTTGTGCCGATGGCTTTCTATACAAGCCACAAAGATCTTCCGGACAGCGGTGTCCTTGATGAAGACACTGCAAAGCCCCTCCGGATAGTGGTTGCAGACGTAGGCCTTCAGAGCGTCATAGAGTGCTCTTCTCCACACTTCCCCTTTCGTTTCTTCATGGTGAGTCTGGAAATCGCTCGGCATCCTCCTCAGATGATCATACTTGAAGGAGACTTGACTCTGTGGGTCCAGGAAGCGGTTCTCTTCCAACTCATTGTGGCGGGTCAACAACACTTCACACTTTTCCGTTTTGACCGGAGTGAAGTGGTCCTTGTTGTGCACAGCACAAAGATTCTCTGCTTCCTCGGACATCATGGCATCATCGCCCACAAGCATGCGCAAGTCACTGAAGACCTCATTGAACTCTCCAGGTGGGGCTTGCTTCAAGAGTCGACTCACCACTTGAACTTTCTCCAACTTTGCTAGGGATTTGTCTCCAGACATTTGCTCCTGGGACATGTTGGCTTAGCTTACAAAGACTAAATCTGTCAACAATGGACCCAGCAAAAATTGTCAGCTCCTTTAAAAAAAATAAATGTGAAAATGCTTTTAAAAATCAAAAATGCTATTTGGGGCAGTATCCCTTCTCAAAATAGCAAGCCCCCCACTACCTAAAAAAGCAATCAATGTAATCACTTGACTGCATAAAGATTCCTTTTAAACATCCTGACGGAATGAGTGAGAAATTTGTTCAGATTTGTGATTTTTTAAAAAAGCAATTGCATTCTGCGTTGCACTTATAAATCTGTAATAGCTCCATATTCAGTAACCCTATTAGTCACAATCATGGCCTTATTGCTACAATCATTCAAGCTCCCCAAGCCAGAATCTGCATTAAGATGCTGATGGGGGCACAAAGAGGAGGATGTTCCCAGCCCACTCCTGCCAGCAAGAAAGGCTGCGACAATCAGGAGCACAATTTCTCATCACAGCATGGCTTGCTGGTGGGATTGGGCTGGAAATATCTTCTTTCCTGGGCTCCTTGTGCTGCAAACCATGTTTGAGCTGTTGAGTTAGCTGAAATGGCAACCAGGAGGTAGATAACCTCACTATGGGTTGCCAACATGGTAGACACAACAGTGTGGCTTTGGCACATGTCTTGTCTACCAAAAATGGCCAGTGGGGCTCTGAGCTCCAGGGCATGCCCACCTCTAGTGTATATCTATCACACACTGGTTACCCAGGCTCACATTTCATGCCTATGGTGAATTGGATTGGAGGTCATGAGAATTTTCACTATAATAATAAATATTATATTTATTTTCATATTTCTTGCTTGGAGAAGAGAAGACTGAGAGGTGACATGATTGTCGTTGTATGCCTTCAAGTCATTTCCATCTTATGACAGCCTTAAGGTGAACTTATCTCAGGGTTTTCCTGGCAAGATTTGTTCAGAGTGGATTTGCCTTTGCCTCCCTCTGAGGCTGAGAAAGTGAAACTTGCTGAGAGTATGTGATTTGTCCAAGGTCACCCATCAGGTTTCCATGGCTGAGAGGGGACTCAAACCCTGGTCTCCAGAGTCGAAGGGTACAACTGCACAGCAGAATTAGATTAGTTTGACACTGTTTTATGTGCCGAGGCTCCATGCTATGGAACTCTGGGATTTGTAGTTTTGTCAGAGCCACAACAAATGACAAATCCCAGGTTTCCCTGGCATGGAGCCATGACAGTTAAAGCAGTGTTAAACTGCATTAATTCTGCAGTGTGGCAGCATAGTCCAACACTCAAACCACTACACCAGGTCAGCAGCTCTCAGTCGTTCAACAGTCGAACAGGCTGTCCCATAGGATGGACCTTCTTTGGCAGGTCTTGAAACAAAAGTTGGATGGGAATCTTTCACGAGTGCTTTGGTTGTATATTCCTGCATGGCAGAGAGTTGGACTAGCTGGACCTTGGGGTCCCTTCCAACTGTTGAGCTTGTTTCCATCTAGATGGCCCCTTATGGTAACAGTCAGAAGACACTGTGCAGTTATTGCATCTTTTTCTCCTTTTATTTGATAAGGAAAACAGTTGGAAGAAGCAAGAGGAAAACTGAGGTGGGTGGAAGAAGATGTTGAAGGCCACTGAAACCCCCATAAAATTCAGTAAATGAGGCAGGCTGATAACATGATGAAAACGTCATCTGAAAGTGCTGCAAATCTCTCTGCTGTTGGATTTTCCTCCAGCTACAGCTACCAAGACTAATACTTCGGAAATGATTACAAGTGAGTTTTGAGCCTAGATTTGAGCTGTCTAATTGCTCCATTTTTAAAGCTATGTTTTAAAGAAAAATGAACTTTTAACGCATCCCTTAATGAGCTCCTCTGCATAATTGGCTGAGGGAAAATGCCGAGATTGGAATTTACAAATAGAGTTGAATAATGTTTTGATCTGCTGTTCCATGCACAAGGCAAACAATCTTAAATGTGTTTGATTTCAGCAGAGCTTCTCTGAACCCAGTCTGAATGCGTCTGAAGACTGAATGGGCTAAAATATTAAAATATTGTGGCTTCCTCTTCTGTGGTTTCAACATGTGGAAAGTAGTGGGGAGGAACTGCCATTCGGAGAAGAAAATTATCCCTCTGCTGCCTTTTTTTGGATTTGGAGCTGGGTATGTTTAGCTTGGACTGAGAAGTGGCATGACAGCCATCTTTAAATAAATGTCTGAAGGGATGCCATGTAAAAGATGGAGCAAGCTTGTTTTCTGCTGCTCCAGAGAGTAGGACACAAAGCAATGGATTCAAATTAGAAGAAAAGAGATTCCTCCTAAATATTAGGAAGAACTTGTTTACTGTAAGATCTGTTCAATGGAATGGACTCCTTCAGATGGTGATGGATCCTCCATCTTTGGAGGTCTTTAACTCAAGTTGGATAGGCATCTTTCAGGAGTCCTTTAGTTGTGTATGCCTGCATGTCAGAATGGGGTTGGACTAGATCAGTGAGTCCCAAACTTTGGTCCTCCAACTGTTTTGGACTTCAGCTTCCAGAAGCCCCAGCCAGTTTGGCCAACAGTCAGGAATTCTGGGAGCTGAAGTCCAAAACATCTGGAGGACCAAAGTTTGGGCACTAGATGGTCCTTGGAATTCCTTCCAGCTCTAGTATTCTATAACTGGAAGGAAGTTGTGGTTACCCAAAATACCACTTGTGATCCATGTAAATCCCACCAGTGCTGCCTAATGAAGTTTGAGACCAAGCAAATCTGGTCCTCAGATGCGCAACACATAGCATCCCAACCTGACTCCCATTTGAGTTAGGAGCCAAGACTGCTAACTACATGTAGCTATGGATTTTCTAAACCTCTTCTTTTGGGGAACGTACAATATAGAAACATTTCCTTGTTTTATCTGACCAGAGTCTATAGCCCATCTGTTTCGATTGGGTAACTGTGAATTCTAGTATTACTAGAGAAAGAGCACCAGGGAATTGGGTTCCAGCACCTCCTGTGGATCCCAAAATCTATGGATGGTCAAGTCCCATTAAATCCAGTGGCACAGAAACATGTCCCTTATATAAAATAGGAAAATCGAGGTTCGCTTTTTAAAACTGATATATTTTTGAAACATTTTGAAGTCATGGATGACTGAATCCATGGATTAAAAAAACCATGGATGTGGACTGTACACATATATTTTAGATTGCATACCTTTGGTAGGACCCACTGTCTTTGGTTGTTTTACTTGTAAGATGCCTTATACATTGAGGGCACAATAACAATGATGGAGAGCTAGGATGGTGCAGTGGTTTGAGCATGGAATTATGACTCTGGAGACCAGGGTTCGATTCCTTGTTCGGCCATGGAAACCCACTGGGTAACCTTGGGCAAGTCACACACTTTAACCCCCAGGATAGGGTTGCCTTAGGGTTGCCATAAGTTGGAAAAACTTGAAGGCACATAACACCAATAATGGAAAAAGCATTTCTTTCCTACCCACTGTCTCCTCACCGATCATACTTTTAAAAGCCTCTATCATTCTCCTGACCATGCCAACACCTCAGCTGCCCTGTGTTTCCATTTATCCTGACCTGAACCACACAACTCTCTTGAATCGGCAACTTCACAGCATGATAGGGAGACCCTCGGAGAATCCCTTCGATCTGCTTCTGTGCCACGGTTGAACTCGGGCTTTCAGAATGGCACAATTCTATGTTCCTATAGCAACCAGAAGAGAGAAAGAGAGAGGACCTGTTCCTTAAGAGACTGGCATCCCTCCCAAGAAGCAGAGAGTGACCTTACTTGGATAACTCAGAGATAGTATTCTGATGCCAGAAGATGCCTTAAGAGGGGTCTCATGTCTCACAGGAGGCATCTTTGAACCACAGATTAAGTTCCTTTCAAGGATATCGGTTATCATCTTATAAGGACATCATGCAACCTTTTCAAGGTGGTCAGCTCCCAGCATCTCCCAGCCTTTGTGATTCTGCTGGGAGTTCAGTCCAATGCCATCTGAAAATCTGATTTATTTATTTGCACCCTCCACATATACCAGGGGCAGAGAGCTGGAGAGGTGGCTCATCTGCTTTTCCCTTTCCCCTCTGTTTTGATGTTCATACATATTCAGTAGGGGATTCTGGGGTATACAGTAGGACTGGCTTAGAGCAGAATCCCATTCTTCTCCAGCTCAAGTTTTATTGCATTGTTGACTGCAGACACGCTGCTGTGATGCAACACCAAAAGTCTGTGTTTCTCTAGCATCCTTCCAAGGCTGATGCTACTTAAAAAAAACATTTCCAACTAGACAGAGGACAGGGAGGGAAAAGGAGTTGGATGGGAATAATAAGACTTTGCAAAAGAGAGTTTCCTTGTCAGAAGTTTTGTTAACTGTAGTAGCTTTGACTTTGACCTTAAACACCAGACCCTGAAAAGCTAGTCTGACCAGTTTCCAGGAAGAGGAAGGGAATATAAAACTAATATTCGTTTAGCTTCTTATCCCCCCCCCCCTTCATCAGATTGCTTTATGCTGCTAGGAGGCTTTAAAGACTATAGAAAAAGAAACTAAAAATCAATACTCATAAGACTGGAATATAGGAAGTAGGCTCAAGTCTGCAAAAGCTCAAACTACCAGCTTCTTTCTTTCGGTTAGCCTCAAAGGTGCTATAAGATCCCTTTGCATTCACACTGTGAAAATAATCCAGGATGAATCCGGGTTGAATCTCCATTGAGATTCAACACACATCTCGAATGCACCCAATTAAATTTGGGAGTGGGTTTGCCAAAAAACTCTACTTAATCTGGGATAATCCATATCAGGGGTTTTCCCATGTTTTTTAAAAAGATCCACATAATTGGTAGTGTGAATAACTGTTGTGAATAGACCCCAAGTAAACCCAGGATAAAACGTTGCATACCTTGAATGTGTTCCGAATGCATTCACATCATTGACTCTAACTTTATTCTAATGCTTTCATGTGTGAGCAACCGAACTCGCAGAGATGCACATCAATGTGGTTCCCTAGTGTGAATAACAAACCTGGAATGTGTGAGCGAGATGATTTGCATCGTTGTGCTAAAAAAAAGTACATGTGAATCACGAAGTCGTTTACCTTCTTTGGGAAGATAGAGAATGCATCGTTCAGGGACTCTGAATGATCAAGGAGCACAGAAATGGCTTTGGGGCCACACAGGCTCCACTTTGCTCACCATATACCATATCTTAAAAGAAAAGTTTCCCTTTTTTCTCTCCTAGTTTTAAATCCCTAGAATATATATGACACATATTCCATATCAAATGACCAAAAATGCCAACAGTAGGAAAACTCTCCAAGTTTGACAGCCTAACCCGACCCTGGAGTTGGGGAGCCATTGCAATTTATTTTTGGAGCAAGTCATTCTGCTAATTGTGCATCTGAAATGAAGCGCAATTAGGGATGGCGAGAGAACGAGACAGCGATGGGGAAGAAATTATTTCTTGGCCGCAGAAGAGATTAATGCCAGAGATCTTTCATTATCTCCTGCCTGCGTGAGTTTGGGAGATAATTACGGAGGGGGGAAAAGAACGTACCTTCTTTTATGTGTTTTTAATGTGAAATAGATCAAAGCAACATTAATTTCTCTGCAGCGTTCCCCCCCCCTACATTTCTCTTGAGAAGGCCATTAAAATAGTAGTGAACTGCATGAGTCTCTAGCTGTTTCTGAACTGACCTCTTGCATGTTATTTAAAACAGGTTTCCACAAACTGCTGCTCACGAATCTTATCTCACCTGGAGGATGGAGAGGAATAAGGCTGCTGCCCCATTGTTAAAGCAGATTCGTACCACTTTAACTTTAAGAGCCAGTAAGGCGTAGTGGTTTGAGCGTTGGACCAGGACTCTGGAGGCCAGGGTTTGGATCCTGACTTAGTCACGGAAGCCCACTGGTTGACCTTGGGCAAGTCACACTCTCTCAGCCTCAGAACAAATCTTGCCAAGAAGATCCCATGATAGCTTCACCTTAGGGTTGCCGCAAGTCGGAAACGACTTGAAGGCACACAACAACAAACCGTTTTAGATGCCATGGTTCAATGCTATGGAATCCTGGGATTTTTCATTTGTTGTGACACCAGCACTCAAGGCCAAATATCTCACAAAACTACAAATCCAAGAATTCTATAGCATCAAGCTATGGCAGTTAAAGTGGTGTCAAACTACATTAATTCTGAAGTGCAGACACAGCCTGAGACAGAGAAAAGCATCTGGCTCCAGATGACGATTTCCCACTCCCAACTTTAATAACAGCTATAGAATCCAGGGATTTGTAGTTTGGGGAGGGACTTAGAATTTTCTAGTGTCCTCAACAGAGCTGCAGAATTAAACCGAGAATTCTAGGCACCTCACCAAACTACAAATCCCACGATTCCATAAGTTAAATTGGTATCAGAGTATTATAATGATGTTGTATAGATACATCCAGTTTTGCAGCTGGGGACCATCCAAGAAACCCAGCTAATCCAGCTAGCAAAACTTCACAATGCCCCAACTCCATGTTTTGGGTAGTTAATTCCAAATATATCCATAAAATGCAGCCAGTACCCATTTTCAAGAAGCATGCAAAAACCACAGTGGAGGAACCCTCCAGTCTGGAAAGGCTTCTGGGTGCTACAATGTCACTGGGATGGAGGCAGAGAGTCTTCTCTGGGTTTCAATCTGGTATTTCACTGAAACTTTTTTCTTAGTCTGCATCTGCACTGCAGCAATAATTCAGTTTGACACCACTTTAGCTGCCCTGGCTCAATGCAAGGGTATCCTGAGAATTGTGGCACCAGTGCTCTCTGACAGAGAAGGCCACATATCTCACAAAACTACAATTCTCAGTATTCCATAGCATTGAGCCAGGGCAGTTAAAGTGGTGTCAAAGTGGATTATCGCTGCAATGTGGACGCATCCATAAGTTCAGCATGTTGGATAGCTTCTTCAAAGTTAAGCTGAAACCCTGGAGCAGAAGCGCTGCCCCCCAGGACATTTGAGCTGCTGAAGAAACAAGATTCAGGGAGGTTTATATTGTGAAAAAGAACATCTTGAGGATGAAAGAAACACCAAGGAAATGGTTGGGAGGAAAGAGGGAGAGAGAGCAGTTCACACCATTGAATACCATCCAATTAGGGCTTTCTTGAGGAAATCTCAACTAGGCCATCCTTTTCTGACATTTGACAGCTGAGATTTTATACATAAAATCCTTGCAGAAAGTTAAATAGGCTTGCAGCATGGAGAATGAGAAAGAGTAAAACACAGATATTTTTTTCCTTCAACACTCTTCTTACATCTCTTTATTTTTCTGCCATCCTTTTCCTATTATATTTTCCTGTTCCTAACTTTCACTCAAATTCTATCCCCTTTCAAATCCCAAAAGCTCTCATGCTCACTTTATTTTAAAATGAAGAAGCCTTCTACCCATTCTCCCGTATCTATCCCTGCTTTATTCCTTTCAGAGTAGACAATCCATCGTGGAAATGTTCCTTTTCAGGACTACAACACCAAGCAGCCATGCTGGCTGGGGATTCTGGGAGCTACAGTCTAGGAAAGTAATCCTCAAAGGTCTTGGTGTTGTGTCCCATTATTGACAGAAACTCATTGGACACAGACGGATCACAGGTTCTTTCTCACAGTGGCACCCTGCTTGAGATATTTTCTTTCCTGGGAAGACTAGTTTTCCTAGCCTTTGGTTGTGATTTTAGTCTAGTGTGCATTTGAGTGTGTGTGTGTTTTAAAAATTGGCTTGAATTGTTTTACTTTTTATTGATTGTATTCTTGTGTTTTGAATCTTTGGAGGGGTTAAGGATTGCAAGAATCATGGAGGAGGGAGCAATATTTACATAAATAAATCAACATGTATTCAGTGGGGAAACTTTAACATGATAAACTTTCCACCGTTATGTAACATAAGCAAGGATACAGAGATATATAAGCCACCCTGACAACTTAAATGAATTGCCAGAAGGCAAGATACCCATCTGCTAGGATTCAACAGGGTAATAAAGTCACTTCACATTAATGAAAGGATTAACACAAACACTCTCATCATTGCTTCTCCAGGACAGGGAAATATAGAGAAAACTGAGCAACTGACCAAACAAATTGACCAAGATGAGAGGTATCTGTGGTTTGTCTTGTGGGTTGTTTTTGGTTGACAACAAGTTTCTTTGCACAGGAGTACAATGGCGATAAAGCAACATTTTCTTCTTGCAGCTAAATAGCATCACTGCTGATTGTCCTAAAATATATTATCTGAGAACAGGGGAGGTTTCAGGAAACTGAACACATTCATTCAAACATGCACTGAAGCTCTTAACACGGAGATGAGCAACCCATGACCTCCAGATATG